TGAGTATTGTTATGGACTACAGTTTGCTTATCTCTTATCCAAAAATGCTTGTGAGTATCAGATGCTGTACTTTTTCAGATCCTGGAATATTTGCATAGATACAGATGATGATCTTGGGGATGAGACCTAAATGTAAACATGCAACTCATTTGTGTTTTGTATATACCTTACACACAGCATGAAGGTAATTTTATGCAATATCTTAGTGCGTCTACATTTTGTCTGTGACCTATCACAAGATGGGAAACTTATTCCTTGTGATGTCATGTTAGCAGTAATTTTTTTTTTTTTTTTTGGTTTTCCGAGACAAGGTTTCTCTGTAGCTTTGGAGCCTGTCCCAGAACTAGCTCTTGTAGACCAGGCTGGCCTCGAACTCACAGAGATCCGCCTGCCTCTGCCTCCCGAGTGCTGGGATTAAAGGTGTGCGCCACCACTGCCCAGCTAGCACTTCAGATTTTTGATTATGTATTTCTTTGGTATTCTTAAACAGAATATAATAATTTAGTTATTTCCCTTGATTGTTATTTCTTTATAAAAAGAACTCTTTGTTATAGTTACCTTAAACCTAAAGCTGCAAGCAGGAACATCGCAATGAACCTTGGTGGATTCAATGTCCAGATATACCAATTATGAACTCAGAAGCCAGGCTTCTTCTGCCCATACCCTATCCACTTCTCTTAGCCCTCAGTTTTGTAAACCATATTTATTATCCTATGTCACCCATCGACATTTTGCTATCTGTTTTGAAAAGATGAGGGTTCCTCTGTAAACATCATAACACAACATTTTTTTTATTATTTCCTATTCTATTTATCGTCTTACTCACTATTGGTATCTCCTATTAGGAATTAAGCAAATCTGATTCTTGATGGTATGTTATGTTTATGGCCTCATAGTTTTAGGTAAAACTATTTGTTGATGAATCAGTGAAGCCGGATGTTGGCTGTGTTGGTTAGTTTCTTTGTCAGTTTGACACAGCTAGGGTCATCTGGGAAGAGGGAACCTCAACAGAGAAAATGCCTCCAAGGATTAGCCGGAAGGAAAGTCTGTTGGGACATTTTCTTGATTAATGATTGACGTGGGCAGTGTCCTCCCTGGGCTGGTAGTTTTGGGTTGTATAAGCAAGCAGAACTAGGAGGAGCAAGCCAGTAAGCAGCACCCCTCCATGGCTCTGCTTCAGTTTCTGCCTGCATGTTCCTGTTCTGGCTTTCCTTCATCACGGACTGTAAGATCTAAACTGAAACAAACCCTCTCCTCCCCAAGTTGCTTTTGGTCATGGTCCTTCTCACAGCAATAGAAAGCAAACTAAGATAAGAGTTTAACTGAATTGACGCATCAAAGATCAGCCTAGGATTTTTATGATTTTTGTCTCAGTATTCCTTTCTAAAAATGTAATGAAAATTCAGTTTCAGAAGCCACAGAGATCTGCTGTCCCCTTCAATAAAAAGATATAAGGGCTGGGCATGCCGCTTAAAGGTAGGTAGAGTGCTGGCTTGACATGTAGGAGGCCTTGAGGGTTGGTGAGGGAGATAGGGAAGGAGAGAAGGAGAAGCGGGGAGGAGAGAGAAAGACAAAGGGGAAGTAAAGAGGGACGAGTAGAGAGAGATGTTAATTTGGTCTGGGTATCCATGGATGGGCTGGTAATCACCATAGTTACTACACAGCCTCAGGTGCAGGTGACCTTAAACTCCTAATAATCCTCCTGACTTCTGAATACTAGGATTACAAGCATGTGCCCCCACATGAGTTAAGATTCATTTTTTTTAAAATTAGTCCTGGCTGTCCTGCAACTTACTCTGTAGACCTAGCTGACCTCCAACTCAGAGATTCACCTGCCTCTGTCTCCTGGGTGCTGGGATTACAGGTATGTGCCACCACTGCCCAGCCAGATTCAGATTAAAAAAAATTAAATTTATTTTTTAATTTTATGATCATTGATGTTTTGCTTGCATGTATATGGGGGTGTCAGAAGCCCTGGAACTGGAGTTACAGACAGGTCTGAGCTGCTTTGTGGATACTGGGAATTAAACCTGGGTCCTCTGGAAGAGCAGCCAGTGCTCTTAACCTCCGAGTCATCTCTCCAGCTCCAGATTCAGATTCTTTTAAAAAGCACTTGGGGATGGAGAGATGGTTCATATTGGAAGCACTAAGTAGACTCTGCGAGTTTAAAAAAAAAGAAAGCAAAGGGCTGGAGAGCTGGCTCAGAGATTAAGACCACTTGTTGCTCTTGGAGAGGACCTGGGTTTGGTACTCAGCATCTACACTGTGGTTCCAGAAGATCTGGCACTCTATTACCTTTGTGGGCACCAGGTATACACAAAGTACTCATACACACACACACACACACACACACACACACACACACACACACAGGCAAAACACTTATGCATGTAAAATAAATTTTAAGTAAACTTTTTAAAGTACTTGGAAGTGCAAATGAAGAAACCAAAGCTGGATATGGTGGTGCATGCCTTTAAACTCAGCAATTGGGAGGCAAAGGCAGGCAAAGCTTTGAGATAGAAGTTAGCCTGTCCCAAGATAGACAGAGCGGTTACACAGAGAAGCCCTGTCTTTAAAACAAGCAAACAAGCAAAAACAACAATAACAACAAAAAAGAAAAGAAACCAAGATTTTTTATGAGATGATTAGACTATTCTTATACAGAGCTCAGTCAGCTAGTGACAGCGTTGCAAGGTTAACAAGAAAAGCCAAGCAAAATTTTACGTGCTAGAATTCTGCAGGGAAATTGTCCACAATGTGTTTGGGATGGATGAGCTAAAGGAAATAGGCCAAGGGACAGTTTCAGTTATTGCTGTTAGGAGACACACTGGCGACAGGTCAGAGATGGTACTAACCTAAAAACTGTTGAACTGAAAGGAGTTTTCACTATATATTAATTTCTGGATGTGTCTGTCCCTGTTAGGACGATAGCAGTAGTCAGAGACCCTGAAGAGAAATGCCATTAGTACAAAAATAAACTAAGACTAATATATGCAAATTTATCCATGAATAGTTTGAAGTATTCTGAAAATTGTATAGATCTATGGATCGATACTACTCTTATTTTGTTTTGTTAAGAGACAGGGCCCCATTATGTAGCCTTGACTGACCTGGAGCTCGATATGTAGACCAGACTAGATGCTACTGATGGGATGATACCAGACTCACTCGTAAAACTTTGTAAGTCTGATTTCCACAGGAAATGATGAACTAAGTTATGAGTTTAACTTAGTCCAAGGCTGTTTCCATGTATCTTTTAGTTTTGTGTGAAGAACTGAAATCATACATGTTTTTCTGTTTTAAATCTAAGTATGTAGAAATTTTGTAAAAAATATGAGGGGTGGTAAGATAGTTCAGAAGGCAAAGGCACTCGGTCTCAAGCCTGAAGGCCCGAGTTTGACTCCTGGGACCCACAGGGTGGAGAGAATGTACTCCTGCACGTTGTCCTATGACTTCCACATGTGCTTAGTGGCATGTGTGCACCACCCTTGTCAAATGTTAATTTTTCAAAGGTAGGAGGAGTTAAAAGAAGCACCCAGTTACTTTTTTGTGTGTATTTCTTACTTTGCAGATTTAATACTTACAGGCTTCAGCATGTTCCTCTTTGAACACACGAGACTAGGATTACATAGAAAACAATAGCTATCTGGTTTCTTTTTTCCTTTGTGTAACAGGGTGTTGTGTAGCCCAGCTTGGTCTTGAACTCTATGTAACTAAGGATAACCTTGAACTTCGGAACCTCCCTGTCCCTATTTCACCAGTACTGGGATTACACCTGGTTTATAGGCTGCTGGGGATCGAACTCAGGACTTTATGCAGGATAAGTGAGCACCATGCCAGCTAAGCTACATACCTGGCACCGCACTGCACAGCAAACACTCAAAATACTGCATATCAAGGTAGAAAGCACTGACATGGCTTACAGGGTCAAAGTAAAATTTCAAAGAAGGAAAATGGTGATTAAGTATGGCTCTTGGAATTATGTCTACTTGGTGTTGCAATCCGAACGACAGAACACGTATAGAGCCAAGTTTATGTGGACTTAGAAGAAAAGTTTCTTCATAATTTTGAAATACTGAAAATTATGTTAGATTCACAACTCACGAACACTTGTTACAAGAATTTTATGCATATATGTGTGCACATGGTGTGTGTAGGGGTACATGTGTGTGGCGGTTAGAAGATGATCTTATGGGTCAATCTTGTTTCCTTTTTTTCCACTTTGAGACAGGGTCTTTATTGTTTGTTGCTGTCTGTGCAGTGCTAGCTAGCCCCAAAACTTCTGTAAAGTTCTGTCTCCACTCCCTACCTCGTGGAGGTACACTGGGATTCAATATGCACACTGCTGTGTTTGGCTTCAAGGGGGCTCCGGATAGCTGAACTCAGGTCTTTGTGCTGGCCTGGCAAGTGGCTTTTTTTTCTAGAAGGCTTTGTTGACCTACAGATTCATAGAGCTGTGTTCCAGACATTCAAGTAGTTGTTGTTGTTTGGAGCTTTCACAAAGACATACAATTGCCTGATGTAGCACCAGCAGCCTTAGCAAGTCCAGATAAAAAAAATGAGCAAAAAATGAATGAAACAATAAAACAAGCCATGGTAGTAGTGACCAAAGGTTCAAAAAGAGTGGCCACAGATGTTGACCACTGTGGACTCCCATTAGTGAATAAAAAAAGTTATACTCTCAGCTGAGTACTTTGACCCCAGCACTCAGGAGGCCGAGACAAATGGATCTCTATGATTTTTAAAGCCAGCCTGGTCAACATAGTTAGTTCTAGGCTGGCCAAGACTAAGTAGTGAGATACTGCCTCAAAGTTGTTGTTGTTGTTGTTTTTTTTAAATACTGAGAGCTGGGCACATTGCATGCCTGTAAACACAACATTTGGGAGGAAGAAACAATTGTTTGTTTGTTTGTTTTTTGAGGCAGGGTCTCGCGACGTGGCTCTGGCTGTCCTGAAACTTATGATGTAGACCAGGCAGAACTTAAATGTACAGAGACCTACCTGCTTCTGCATCCCAAGTGCTGGATTAAAGCTGTGTGCCACCATGCTCTGTGAGGAAGCTGCAAGTTTAATGCAAGCCTGGGCTACACAGTGAGCTCTAGGCCAACAAGATCCTGTTGCAGAAAAAGAAAAAGAGAAAGAATGGGAGGGAGGGAGGAGAGATGTTATGCACTCTTGTGTACCATGAACTAATCTGCAAAAAGATTTTATTTGAAAGCTGCATACATTCAATATTTAATAAATCCCCTAAAACTTAGCAATTTTTCCTTATAATTGTATAATATGAAGAAAAAGTAAGGAATTTCTTTTCATCAAGCTCCTATACTGCTACATAGTTTACTCTAGTGTGCCGTACAGATTTTACTTACTCTGGATGGTGAGTTGTGTGTATGCCCTAAACCACTCACATCTAATCACACTGCATGTAAACACTAACACACACTGATAAATATATGCATATGGGCACAGGACATCCAAGTCTGATCTCATACTCAGAGTTAAATCGACTGATAAATACAATTAGTCTCTCTCTCGAGGAAAGTAGAGATGTGATCTGGTACCCACTTAGCAGCGAATCACTCAAGGATATCCAATGCACAGACAGCAGAGGCAAAGGCAGAGACACACTCACCATTCAAAGGGCACTTGGAAGACAGATGTGGTGGCACGCACCTTTTATCCCAGCTCTTGGGAGGCAGAGACAAATGGATCTCTGTGAGTTCAAGGCCAGCCTGATCTACAAAGCAGGTTCCAGGACAGCCAAAGCTGTTACACAGAGAAATCCTGTCTCAAAAAAAGCCAGAAAAGGTACATCAAAGGGAACTTGGAGATGCACATATACACAAACCTAATTTCATGGACTTACACTTTCAGACACAGTCTTGCATGTGCAGGCATAAAAACTGACATTAGACAGGGGTCATGTTTTGCTCATGTCCTATAGATCCAGACTTTCTCTGCCTCACACCACCAGCTCTTACGCGAGACACTGAAGCTATTACATTTTATTTTTAAAGGCTATTTATTTATGTGCATTCCCCTGTGCTTCACGCACACAAACAGGAGTATGAGAACAACGTATGGCGTTAGTTCTCTCTGTCTACCATGTGAGTCCCAGGTGTTGAACTCGGGTTGTCTGCCTTGGTGGCAGGCACCTTTTTTCCCACTGAGCCATCTCATTGACCCCAAACCTATGATTTTATAAAAAGCCACATTCACAAATATGCCCTGGCACATAGTCACTTACATATAGATGGCATAGACGTACTTGCAGGCATATTACTCAGTTTTCACAGCTGCACAGTGAGGCAATCAAGCAGATGAAATAGTTCAGACTCACGCATCCTTAACCCACATAACCACTGAGGCTTAGAAACATACAAACACAAATCTTCAGATGCCCACACATCCATTCACGCATACACATTCCACCCTCACTGAACAACACAGATGCACACATTCTAATAGATGGCCATATAGACACAAACCCATACCACATAAATGCTTCCACTGCACTCATCACGTACAGCAGCCTTCCGAATTTTACAGACGGAACAGAGACCCTCTCCCCCATGCATGTACATCCTGGTAACTATAAACCTAATTCCCTAATTAGATAAAAATACACTGGCACATGTGTACACGGACCCATTCATGTTCATGCATGTCGATACACCTGCATTCTCACAGATACTGCATTCTCACACATATGGGATGTGTGCACTCATACACCCAGAGAAGCATATATGAGCAAATATACACAAAGGGCTGAATGCCCTTCCACTTGGCCTTGTGCACATTTTTCCTTACCCGCTTGTGTTTCTATATGAACACTGAGATACTTTATAAACTAATTTTCATGTATAAACATACTCTTACGTAAAAAGAGGCCAGGCTCATTTTCTTGGACATACATGTGGGCACATGTAATGAGGCAAATATGCATATGAAAATCTTCTTTGCACTTGTAGATGAATGCACACCGTTAGCCACCAGGACAGGGATAATTGTAACAGGTATACACACAGGTGATACAGACAGGTAATATACTGTTGTTACTTTTAATAAGCAGTTCCTCATGAGAGGGCTTATTACATGGTAGGCACTGTTACAAGCACTCCTCGTGTATTAACTTTGCCTATCCTAACATTACATGATAGGGAGTTTTATTTCTTCCATTTTCTAGACTGGAGACTGGGGCTTGGTTGAGGTTATGTGATTTCCCCCCAACTACACATCTAATAAACACTAACCGAAAGGCTGTCTCTAGAGACCTTGCAGACCCAATTCACAATTAGAAATATATTCACCTCAGGGGCTGGAGAGATGGCTCAGCCGTTAAGAGCACTGGCTGCTCTTCCAGAGGACCTGGGTTCAATTCCCAACGCCCACATGGCAGCTCATGTAACTCCAGTTCCAAGGGCTCTGACACCCTCACACCAATGTACATAAAATAAAATTAAGTAAATTATTAAAACAAAGAAATAGATTTACCCCAAACATAAAATTTATAATATAATGTATATGCATATATATTATAAAACCATACAGCACTTGCACACACAAGTTAGTTCCCATTTACTAATACACTTAGGTACAAATGGTCATTCGTACCGAGTTATAGACAAGTTCACATTACAGACATTTTACCAGAGATATATATGCCCTAGAAAATATATTCATGTGTGATCACAATTACAAACTTTGCTCATAAATAACTACACTATTGGATATACAAAACATCTAATACAGCCCCCATAAAACAGCCATATAAATCCATGTTAGTTATCTTTCCAACTGAAATACATGCAAACACACACTATCCAGATATACCTTCACACATGCTAGATTCACTCATTTCACACAAACAAATATTTTCTTTTTTTTAGCCTAATTCTTTTTATTTTTGAGAGGTTGATTTCCCTTAAATTATGAAGAAAAGAAAAAATAAAAAGTTGTCTTTACAAGAAAATAAAAGCACAGACTAAGACACATGTAAAAGGTACTTAGCATCATCGGTTATGGAAGGCCACGGTTTTTGACTCGAGTGACCCAAAACTGGTTGATTTTTACAAACAAATATTTTCTTTCTCTCACACATACCACTTAGATTCTCTCTTCCCCATCCACCCAGAGAACTGCACATATCCTAGTCTGATATACCCACATTCTCACAAGCCCCAAACCCAGATATACACAATTCATTTTCCTTCTCACACACACCGCTCAGAAACACCCACTGTCACACATATACCCAACACCAATACACCCACACTTTCACACACATTCAATTTACATACATCCATTCTCATGTATAATCACCTCAAATATGCTTACCCTTACAATCACTCTATGCAATTAATGCCACACTTATACGATCTCTAACTCAGCATACATAACTTAACCCCACCCCAACTTGGAGTCCTCAGACCTATCTTAGGTTTACCTACAATCTCTTTCAAATGTACACAATCAGAATATACCCAAGGTGACATACGTACCCTCCAAAAGACACTGCACTTAAACACACCCCACCTAGATATATTCACAATTTCTCAAGCCACATATATGCACACAGAGACACATATATTCATATATCACCCAGATACTAACCTAATTTAGAGAACTCACATTCAAACACAAATTTTGTCCAGATGTGTACATTCATGCTTTCTCACGTTATCTGTTTCGTCTCTCTCACACACACTTTGCCACCTAAGTATATTCACGCTTTGACCTGCTCACTGTTCAAACACATCTACATTCAAATCCTTTTCCAAATGCACCCACATATTGTCTCACGAACAGCCTGAATGTATCCATACACTTTTTCTTATATACCATCAGGATACATCCACATCTCATAAACATGGGACATCCCAATACACACGCTCACTGAGTCTCCGGATGAAAACTGGATTGAGTGTCTGAAGAACGTGTGTAAGGCACATCTGTGTGGGAAGTACTGTGCAGAGTGTGGGTCGGGTACATCCATATGGTGTGGAGGAGATAGAAGCATGGGTGGATTTGGATAGTAGGTTTGTGTAGAGGTATACGCAGATTGTTTGTGTGACAGTTGAAAATATTTGGGTGGGATGTGTGTGTGTGTCTTTGTATTCCAAAAAATCCTTCCCTCCTTAATATACACAATTATCTCTCATGCACACCCTAGCCAGAAACAATACACTCCCTTACATACACATACTCTACACACTCAGGCCCCCCAATACCTACTACTTTCCTAAGATATACTTTCGCCTAAACATATTTTCTTAACATCTCGATTTCTGCCTGGTGCCATAATTTGCTGCTGTCTGTGAAATGTCCAGATGCTGCACATTCAGACTTTCTCACATTATCTGTCTGTCTCTCTTTTCACACACACACAACCAAACACACACACACACACACACACACACACACACACACACACACACTCCAACCAAAGCTCTAACTAACCCTAGGCACTATTATGATGCCATCCTGCTCTATGCCTTTGGCAGTGGCGGGATGGGAAGGGAGATTTTTATGTTTCAATATTTTAGCATGGCCCCCAGTGCTCGTTAGCGAGCACGCGCAGAGTGCTGTGCAGAAAGTAAGCGCACCCGTGTGGTGTGAGCGAGATGAAAGCACGGGCGGGTTTGGGTAGAAGGTTTGTGTAGAGGTCAGTCTGCACAAGGCCACATCTCATATCAGACAGGCGGAGACACAAATACCTTTATTTACCCCCCCCAAGGCACATTTCCATTGGACTTAGTCCCAAGTACATCCATTTATTCTTTTAAATGTACTATATTCACATGATTTACTCATGAATGACGTGCATTCACTCACAAACACAAGTACACAGACATACTTTTACATATCTACAGAGATATGTAAAAATATATGGATCATATCTGAAGAGATAATAAGGAAATGGGGGCACAGAAGGGGGGCTCCCAAACATGTATATGTATACACTCAAACATAATCACAGAAGTATATTTGCATGCAGGCATACATACAGACATATATGTATAGGTGTGCTCACACATATCCATACCCAGATGTGCAAATGCTTGTAAATGAGATTATGTATACATATGCAGGTATTATAACACATAGACTTGTATGTATAACTGACCATGTACAAACACAGCATATTTGTATGTTTATAGACTTGTACATACATTAATTCATTTTGATATGTATACAATGAACTATAGAAATAAATATACTCACAAAAGCACACGATCACAGTCAGGTATATATATACACCATTATGTCCATACACCCTTCTGAGAAGCTACATAAATAAATGAAAGAAGAGTAACTTATATGTACATTGGAATAGAATACAAAAGCATATTTCAATACATGCACCTATAGAAGTACTCTCATGTATTCTTGAACATACACCTGTTGATCTGCATAAGGTTTGATCAACTTATCACATACATACATGCAAAGGTATATAAATGGATGCACAGACACACATACATACACAAATGTGCTTGTGAAGCAAGAATGGCCTGCACAGAGATTTATATGCACCATTCTATAACATATGCTTTAGACCAAACAAAGATAAATACAAACATACAAATTCAAACCAGAACTGTGCAAACGGGTACTTCACACATTTGTGTATTCAGACAGGCACACACACAGGCCTATTCAAAGATATACACTTAATTGTGTTTGATCACACATGCCTATGTACAGATATATTCATGTGAATGTATGCATAGTTAGGTATTAACAAATAATAGCATATATATGCACAATCACTCAAGGCACATTCAAATATACAGTCACACTCAAAAATAAAAATCCAAATAAAAACATAGTAAGACACATGCACCCAACTATTATGAAATGTGGTTACTCATGCATACCATAATCAGATATACACTTCCACCAAATATTTTTCATTCATCCACTCTTCCCTTATCTCAGTGTGCCTATTTATACTTACATTTCTTTAAATAGATACGAACACACAGGTCTGTTGAGAGACAGTGGGCATTCAAACAGGCACATGCAGACACAGACATAATGAAAAATGCTATGAATGAATTTATACAGACTTTCATACATAAGCCTATTCACACAAATATACGGCAGCCACACCCACAACACATATAAGCATGTTCACACACACACATCCTCTCCTACATGCATGGGACACATGTATGTCTTTATGCTCACACATATTTAGATGAACCCACACTGAAAGGCACATGTGGGAAAACAGGACTATTCACAATGAGATCCAAGTAGGCATTCATTTACTCATACATATGATCAGATAATGTGTGTTCAAAGACAAATTGATACCACACACACACATAAACAAGCATTCAACAGGCCTAATATAGGCTCAGAGAAACACACCAATATTCAATATTTGGGTCAAAATCAAACATGACCATTTGCTTACCAGATATGCAAAACCATACCCTCCAGGAAAGACACAAAGCTATCCAGATACCCACACAATCCCATATGCCATCACATAGTCTGTTCTCTCTTTGTCCCTCTGTCTCTCTGTCTCTGTCTCTCTCTCTCTCTCTCTCTCTCTCTCTCTCTCTCTCACACACACACACACACACACACACACACACACACCACACTCATATACACCTCCAGTGCAGTGATGAGACACGGACTATACACTTCTTTTCATGTATATTCTTAGTTTCAGGTCCAGACGCCCCTGGGCAACAGGCTAGATTCTCTCCCTTCCACATCAAATGCTTCTTCAGGAAAGTCTACTCATGTCTAAAGGTCCTGGCCCTTCCTGGCCCTCAGCAGAAATCTGTCTTCAGTCTCTCCGCTCTTGGCTCCTCTGCTGATCTCCATCCCCTTGGTATTCTACCACATCTCCCTATCTAGAAACTAGCTCGGAAACTCCAATCTCCCTAGCCCAGGGTCTAGATGGACAAACTCCACTGCAGGTTTGGCTACTGCATGGACCACACCCCAGCTCTACTCAAAGCTATAATCTCAAAAGCTTCAGCCTTGTCTCTCGTCCCTGCCAGCCACTGACCATAAGCCAAACTCTTGCTAATTTTCCCTCAACAGAGGGACACATACTAGGGCCAGGAATGCTGCAGGCTGTAAGCCAGGCCTCCGCTGGCTCACAGTCTGGTGTGTGTGTGTGTGTGTGCGTGTGTGTGTTGTGTATGTGTAAGTGTGTGTACATAAACAGGGACAAATGCAGGAGGGGAAGAACCCCAAGTAGGATGAGAATGACTGTCTACACTACTCATCATTCCTGACAAATGACAAGTAACAGCAATAATGCCATTCTCTTTCTCTCCATCTTTCCACCTGCTGCCTTCTCTAGAGCTCTGCTGAGCCCCTGGAGAAAAGGTGCTGATCCTTTCCCTAATCAATAGCAACACGAATCACGAACAACCAGCAATAATATTGACCCTGAGCTTTGCTGACACTGCTCGGTGCCATCCTATGCACACGTTTAATTATTTGCATGCATCAATTTATTTAATCCCCGCACACATTCACAAAGAAAGGGTTACCAGTCTCTTTGACAAATGGGAAAAACAAGGTTCAACAAGTGACATGCCTCCACTAAAGTTGTGAGCTTAGTAGTTAGGAGATGTGTCCCTAGTAGAATCCATGTTCTCCATATACCAGGTTTTCCTGCACTTCCAGATACAGGGACCTCCGGCTACTGTGTCATTGATCTGGAGGTCCCAAACACATTATGGGTATCTGAAACAGAAACAGAGAGCCATGTGATAGAAGCCAGGGCCCACAGTGTGGGAACAATTATGCTGTGTATTGTCATGGGGACATGTTCAAGCTCTCTCAGAGCCCATGGTCTGAATGTGCTCCCTACCCCCACCTTACCTTCCTCTATTCCTATAGCAGCTTCCTCCCACTAGCTGGGACACATCTTCCAGGGTGAGTGAGCAAAAGTATATTACCTGTGGGTAGAAACTGGGAAAAGAATAAAGGAAGGAATGAGGGCTGGTCTGCTCTAGAAGCGGCTTTCTTGCCATAGCTACCCACCTGCTTGCTGACTAGGGTCTCTGTCTCTATCTCTCTTACACACACACACAGACACACACACACACACACACACAGAGAGAGAGAGAGAGAGAGAGAGAGAGAGAGAGAGAGAGAGAGAGAGAGGAGAGAGCCAAAGAAAGGAAGAAGGAAAAAAGGAAGGAAGGAAGGAAAGAAAGAAAGAGAAAGAAAGAAAGAAAGAAAGAAAGAGCTCACACACAATTCTGCAAGCCAAGGAACCTGGAGAAGGGTGAAGGAGGGAGGAAAGGAAGCTGCAGGCATTGTGAGAACAAGACTCACTGGGCACCCAGGTACCCCTTCCACAGCTAGCACACAAGGAATTGTCTTGTGTCTAAATGTGACCACGAGGATAGAAACAGACCCTGTTAGGGGTTGGGGGTGGGGAAACAGGTGGTGGTTCCCTTTCTTACGGGACGGATTGAGGAAGATGGGGGAAAGATCAGCAGTCCTGGGGCTTGAGTGTTGTAATAGAGATGAAGCAGAGAGACTAACAGAAAGCATGACAGTGATAGAGACTGAAATACGTGGGGGGACAGAAGAGAAGTCCCAGCTACCCTCCTCCCCGGCTCCTTCACGGAAGGATACAGACTACTTACCTGGGTTCTCTTAGCAGGACCGGCTTGGAATTCAGGAAGGGAACTCACTCGATCTCAAGCAGGATAAACCACAGTCCAGGCCACATTGTGGGACCCTCAGTGATCTGGCAGCCAGTGACACTCCTGCTTCTGTTGCCGTGGATACAGCCTGGTTGGTCTAAATCGCTGGCAGCAGGGGAAGCAGGTGCCAGAGGGGTGCACTTGGTAGAGCTGGAGATGATGGGGAACACCAGGTGGGCAGCACACAGCTTTGGGGTGCCCAAGTAGTGGGCAGATGGGGGTCCTGGTAGGTGCTTCTCCCGCTACACACTCCCACCCCCATCTTTATACCACCACCAGTCTGGGAGGGGCCAGAGCTAGCTCTGCTACTGGTCTGCCTGCCTGCCTGCCGGTTCCCCCCACCCCCCACCCAGTCTGCCTGCTGGCCGCAGCCTTTTGTCCTCAGAAGACACGGTCCCAGCGGGGCCTCTGCCAAGCTTCTAGCAGAGGCTCAGGGTCCTGGACTCCTCCCTGGGAGCACACGAGCCATGGCCCGGGAGGGCCCCAGGTTAGGGGCACACTCTCATCCAGGCTAACCCCACTCTCCCGGCCCGGTGAGGACGGAGAAGAGGTGCAAGTCCACAGCCAGAGGCAGCAGCAGAGGTGGTGTTGGGGAGGGGATGGACGCCAGAAAGAGGGGGAGGGGTGGAGGGAGAGAGAGGCTGGCCTGATAGCCGTGTCCCAGGTTTTAGATCCGGGTTGAGAAGGGTGGCTCAGAGCATCCAAGGGGGGTCCTGATGCGAGACGAAGGTATGGTGGACCTGCCGGAAGAACCTTCCTTGCCCGGGAATCACCCCGCTCCACACAAATCCAGGTTCCACGATGCGGGGAACACCTAGCTTGGATAGGGTCTCAGTGAGGAGTCGTGGCCCCTTAGCTGGACCCTGTGTAGCCTGTTGGTCCTCCCCTCTCCTCGATTTGCACAGTCCCTGCCCGAGGGGCGGGTGGAGGAGGGAGGGAAGCAGGGAGAGCAAGGGAGGGAAGAAGGGAGGTTGAGCAGCCGGGAGACTCCCAGCCACCAGCAAGGTCCTCCCTGGGGCGGGGCGGCTGGGGTTGGGGGAGGGGGCTGGCGAGACCAGGAGAACTTGGCTGGCTGGCTGACTGAATGGGGATGCTTGGTGTGGTGGTTGTTCTTGCCAGGACAATAGCTGGCTGACAAAATCAGGCTCAGGCCTTTCTGACTTGAGAGAAGCCTGCGTGGAGGTGAGGAGAAGTAGCCAAGTAGCGTAGGCTACTAGTGTAGAGAGGGCAGGACTTGTAACGGTCGGGGGTCTGATTTTGAACAAAGATTTGGTGGAAGTTTCTCAGGCTTGGCATGGGAAGGCTTGGAAGATAGGGTAGATAACCTTATTTAGAATGGGGTTTTATGGGCCTGGTCTGGAAGCTAGCTTGGAGGGAGGTGGAGGAGGAGTGTAGACACCCAGCTCAGAACAGCCCCTGTCAGGCTATCTCCGATGCTGCTTCTACCTTTTCTGGGCCAGGAGGCAGGATGAATCCATACATAAGATTGCATTCCCGAATAGCATAAGGCGAAAGATGAGAAGAATGCATGGTGAACAGAAATGTGAAGACCAGGGAATACATTTCTGTTTTGAATCGGTTGAAATTGGGACCAAACGATGCTGTAGTGGTTCCTCTAACTCACAGCATTCAACAAATCCAATTCTCTTGATATAAAAAGTGTATTTTATTTGTCTTCTTCCCCCATTTGTTGATTCATTCATTAAGCACAGCTTTATGTAGGTCCAGTGCTGGCCTCAGATGACTCGGGTGGATCAGACTTGCGGCCTGCTCTTATGAAGCCCATGATCTGCTAACCAACCTGTGGGCCTGGAAGCCAAGCACCTGCGTCTGCATCCCTCTGGGACTTGTGAGATGTAGGTCCCAAGGCCTGCTCCTTGGAAATATAAATCTGGTAGGTGGGAGAGGTGCGAAACATTTTTTAGAAAACCTTTTGGTGGCTATTTTTATATCTCTCAAATTTGGGCACCATGCTTTGAAAAGGATAAAATCCTATGGACTGAACATAAATTCTCAGTGGAAATTAGGAAATGCTTTGAACCGACCTAGAATGAAAATCTTCACCTGAAATCTTGTGAGATTCCTCTAAGGCTGTGTGGAGGGGGAATTTCATAGCTTTAAATTCATATATTTTTAAAAAGGAAGAGCTAGATTTCTGTATTAAGTTAGAAAAGGAATAGAAAATAGAGCCACACTAGAGAAGAAGATCAATAAAGTTAATGGTTCTTTGATGAATCCTTGAGACATCATGATTCAGAGAGTAAGAAAGCATGTAAAAAGTGTCAGGAACAAAGGGGTCACTACACCGTATAACACTGCGTTATAATGAGAGGCTATTAGTATTATAATTTTATGCTTGCAAATTTGAAAATTTTATATGGCAGAAAAATTCTTGGCATATAAAGTTTACTAAAAGTCACAGAAAATATAGACGATCTGAGCAATCGTAACTATTAAACAAACCGAATTTATAAGTTTAAAAGGTTTATACAGAGGAATCTCTAGGAGGCTAGGGAGATGGCCTCAGTGGATAAGAACACTTGCTCTGCAAGTGCAAAGACCTGAGTTCAAATCCGTAGCAACCATGTAAAAGTGTGGCATGGCTGTGTCTGCCTGTAACTCTACCATTGGTGGGCAGAGGCAAGTGAATCCATAGAATTTGCTGGCCAGCCAGCCTAGCCAAAACACAGTGTGCTTCCAGTTCAGTGAGAGACCCTTTCTCAAGGCGTTTATGTGGAGAGCAATAGACAGAAACATCTAAAGTTCTCCTCCAGCCTCTGTGTGCATGATTGTTCAATGGTAAGTTCTGCAAAATATTCAGAGAGCCCCCAACTTTCTAATTTTATAAAATTCTTCAGGGGATTGGAGAAAAATTATGATTGGTCAACAGGCACAAAAGAAAAGCAACTTAACAAACAAGCAAAAAAAAATCTCATAACAAACTTAAGTTTGCTAAGAATTTAAAGAAGGTTATTAAAATACCATGCTTTCAGACTTCATGCCTAATGGGGAAATATTGAATGCTTTCCGTGCTGGTTAGCCTTTGTCAAGATACAAACTAATGTCACCTGGAAAGAGGGACTTTCACTTAAGGAACTGCCTGGAGCACACTGGCCTGTGGGCATGTCTATGGGGCATTTTCTCCTAGGCAAGTGGTCCTGGTTTGTATTAGAGAGCAAGCAGAGCAAGCCATGGAGAGCAGGCTGGCAAGTGGCATTTCTCTGTGGTCTCTGGTCCAGCCCCTGCTCCTATATTCCTATCCTGACCTCCCTCAGTGATGGACGTGGAAATGTAAGACAGAATCAATCTGTTCCTTCTCAACTTGGTCTTGGCCAGAGTTTATTGCGGCAGCAGAGAAGCAAAGCTTGGAAACAGGTCTAGGCTGCTCACTGTAATCAGTTTCATTCAAACTGTACTGAAGGTCTTGGCCAGGGCAAGAAAAATATAAAAAAGGGCTCAAGATAAAAACTGCAGTTCAGGGCACAGCCTACCTCCCTGTGAGTTTTTGGTCAAGGAAGCCCCAGGTGTCTCCAAACTAACACAGACTATTGCTCTTGCCTGCCCGCGGTTACCCACTGTAACTACCCAGTAAGATCCCACCACACACTTTTGTTGCAGGGTATAGAGAAATCAATCTCAAACTGATCAGGAAGCATTTTCTTCCTTTCTGGCTAGTTTTCGTAGTGCCAGAAGATGCTCACTCGGTGGTAGCTGAGGGAGAAAAGCTATCAGTGGGCTTCCCAAGTGTGAACCTTGCATGCTGTAATTATGACCTACCTGCCAGGCAAGAAGTACCCGCTGGTGCGATAGCGCTACACTTTTTATACGGTAATGAAGCACTTTCTGACTGGACTTAGGCCTGCTCCATTGAAGGGATTTTCGTTCCAGGTACTGTAATTCGCGTCAAAAGCTCAGGGCTGGGAAGGTCATAGACCCTAGGGTAGAACCTGCTATTGTTATTTTGCTAAATGGTCATGCTGTCCAATTGCTTTCTAAATATGAATATGTTCTACTGCACATATATATAGAAGTTTTAAAAATAAAGAAACATTTTTTAATTTTAATTTTTATTAGCTCTTTGTGAGTTTCATACACCATGTTTTGATTTGTTTCTTATTCACTCAGTTTTGTACCCCTTTGAAAAACATTCCTCAAGACCAATCTGTGCTGCCCAGTTATTCTTGGAATGTGTAGTCTTTCACTGGAGTGTAGTCGACTAGCTAGGGGTAACGTTCTTAGAGAAAACTTTTTCTCCCTCTTCCTGAAGCTCATAGTAAGAGGCTCTCCCCTAGGGCCTATGACCTGTCTAGTCATAGGTTACTGGCCCAATAATGATGCTAGGTATGCGTTTCATCTTGTGGAGTGGGACTTATATCCAATCGGAAATTAGTTGGTCACTCGCATCATGCTGCTGAAGTCATTACTGCACCAATGGGCGTATCTTTCCAGACCAGGTATTATTGTAGCCGATAGGGTTCACAGCTGAGTGTGACTGAGGTTTACTTTTCTACTCCGGTAGTATGTATAGAATTTTCCATCACCATGAAAGCTAGCCAATAGGGTGAGGCTTCCAGGATAATAACAACTTGATTTCTCTATGTTCAGTGATTCAAGTATGTGGTATCTTCAGCAAGAGAAGCTTGCTGTCAAGTTCTGGGGGGTAACCAAGAGCCATAGCCACGGCCTGTATTGTTTCTGGGGTTGGTCTGTGGGACCTCACTGGCTAACAGCTCTGAATAAATTCCTGACACTGAACGTCTTTCATTGTTTTAGTTTGTATGTGTTTATTTTTTAAATTTTTGTTTGAAAATATGTCCTTATTTAAAATTTTTATTTTATTATTATTATCTTTTTGGTTTTTTGAGACAGGGTTTCTCTGTAGCTTTGGAGCCTGTCCTGGAACTAGCTCTTGTAGACTAGGCTTGCCCTGAACTTAAAGAGATCCACCTGTGTCTGCCTCCTGAGTGCTGGGATTAAAGCATGTGCCACCGGCACATATTTTCTTTAATTTTATTTTATGCACATTGGTATTTTGCCTGTATATATATATATCTGTGTGAGGGTGTTGGATTCCCTGGAATTACAGACAGTTGTGAGCTGCCATGTGGGTGCTGGAAATTTAACCCGGGTCCTCTGAAAGAGTAGCCGGTGCTCTTAACCACTGAGTCATCTCTCCAGCCCCTAAAAATTATTTTCATACAATATATTTTTATCATATTCTCCCCCCTCCCCAAGCTCCTCCTTAACCACACAACTTCATGTGCTCTTTCTCAAAAAAAAAAAAAAAACAGAAAAAGCAAAAACAAACATGAAAACAAAGAAGAAAATCAATAAGAGAAAACCCAGACCAAATCAATACAAAACCCAAAAGAAAAAAAAAATGCGCCAAAAATCCATGGAGCTCGTTTTGTGTTGGGCAACTATTTCTGAGCATGGGGGCCTGCCTTGCAGTGTGGTTGATATTCCCAGTGACGCTCCATTGGAGAAAACTGATTTTCCCTTCCCAGCAGGTATTGACTGCAAATAGTTTCTTGGTTAGGGGAGGAATTTTGTGTCTACTCCCTCTTCTCAGTGCTGGGTTCAACTTTGTCTGGGTTGAACTTGCATAGGGTATGTACATGCTGTCCCAGTCTCTGTGAGTTCATATGTGGATCAGTTCTGTTGTGACTATTTCCTAGGAGCCATCCACCATCCCTGGCTCTTACAATCATTCCTCCTTTTCTTTCCCATGGATCACTGATCCTTGAGAGGAGGGGTTCAATAAAGACATCCCACTTAGGACTAAATGCTCCAAAGCCTCTCTCAGTGCATCATCCCATTGTAGAGCTCTTGGTTAATTGGTTATTAACTACTTCAAGACGAAGCTTTTCTGATGAGGATTTAGTGATACTGTGCCCTATGACTATAGCAACCTGTCATTAGGAGTCATTTGATTGCTATGTTCAATTAGCAGAATGTTAGTAGTAGGCTTTCCCCCAGGCC